TGTGTGTGTGTGTGTGTGTGTGTGTGTGTGTGTGTGTGTGTGTGTGTATCCTTTTTAAATACTTGTGTTTCGTGCATTGCAGCCTGTTAGAGATGTTCCAACAGAGAAAGTGATTGAGTAAGTTATACATTACAAAAACTTCTCTAGACATTCTCAGTAAAGATGTTTCATGTTTTAATATTTTATTGTAATCTGATTGTTTCATTTTGATCCTGACAGGCAGGCAGGCGATTATGAGATCAGCTATGGGCCATCTGGGGTCTCTCAGTAAGTCAAGCTCAGCAAAGAACATATCCTTTCAGAGGGAACTGTGGGTGATGAGTTGAATCGAATTAAAAGATGAGGTTTGAAATTGTTGTTATAGTGGAATGACAAAGGAGCAAACTAGCACGTTTCCTTAACATGAAACAGTTCTGTAGTTAAAGTGAAAATCCAGTAGATGGCAGCAACGGGTTCCATAAGAGAAAAGCCTGTTTTTAAAATGTTATTGCATTTAGTACAGCCATATTTGTTAGGTTTTATTTTTCATTACTTAACATTCATTTTCACAAAAAATAACCACATCAGCTAAATACATGTATATGCCAAACTAATCTGGATTTATCGAGATTGTTTCAAATTAGGTTATAAAAATTTGAACCACCACGGCCAAAACAAAGCACCACACAGCCTGTAAGATTAAATAAACTAAGACTTGATGCAGCTGTGAGTGTATGAATCGGTAAATGCAGCTTTTTGAAGAAGCCCTTGGAGTGGTAAACTAGCTTTAAAAATGTAATATAAGCACAGTTACAATTTTCATTTTATATATCCTTAACCTCTATAAAAGTAGAAGGTGCTCTGGACCTTTCAGGGGTTTGTTCAAAAGATTTGAAGAAGTGTAAACACCAGTAATGAATGGAGAGAAACAGTTGCTGTCCATCAATCTAGGAAGGTTTATATGGCCATTTCCAAGATATGTATTCCCCGTCCTTTTGCAGTGAGAAAGATCATTTATAAATGGAAACCTTCAAGAAAGCTGTTAATCAAATCCCAGCTATTTAAACCCAGCGTTGACATTACAAAAAGATACAGAATTTCTGTTTTCAAATGTCTGTGTGTTTCTGAATCGACAATTTATTTCTCATGCTTCTTCTTTTGACAACAAGATTTGAGCATCTACATTCTTCATTTGATTATAAAACACTTTGTCACGTACAGATTTACTTATTTGTAATGCTAATTGAAATGAAGTATGAAACTCAGATATTCCTTTCTTGCTTTTCTGAAGTGCCTAGTTTGATTTTGGGTTTTATCTCTTGTGATCCACCCAGACTGCGTCTGCTGCCTGGGTTTCTTCCCACAGACGAGGCTGACTGGATGTTCAGTAAGCTGCTATCAGAGCTCCCTTGGTCCCAGAAGGCAAATTACAGACAGGGTGGGCAAAATGGTCTAAACAATAAGCTTTGTGCAAAGGGCATTATGTAAATGTATTGTTTGTTAACCAAAAGCTGGGGAGTTTTCCTCACTGTAGCAGGTTCACTGTCATTGTACTAGTGCAGTTTTTTTTCACTCCAAAAGTCGATCTTTTCTTTACTTTTTCCCCCCCTTGTGTTAAAGGCAAAGCCACAGAAGATATTACATTTGGAAGCATTGTTGTGGTTTTGTACAGGTTTGTCCTGAGTTGTCCTTGCTATTTTGACAAATTGTTCAAATGCCTTCTGGAAGCTTTACACATTCCGCTTTGACATTTATAGGCTTTACCTTGCAAACTTTGGCGGTTGATTTAAAGAAAAGGAAAAATGGCACATTGAGCTCAGAGCTGATAGCTACAGTGAGCACATTTAGATGAAGCAACACTGTCTCAGATTTTGCCTTTTCTTTCATCTGGCTCTCATCCATCTCTTGTGCTATTCTGCGACTGCTGTCTTCGCAGATAAACAGCATGATGACAATTTCGAAACAATGCCCACGGAGACGGATTATTTATTACTTTGTTATTCATTTATCAGACTTTGGCAACAAAGTCACGTGACATTTGGGTGAAAGGCTGGGGAAGAGTTGGAAAGCAGACTTCAACATTTTTGTTGTTCAACATGGTTTATTCGATTTAGATTGCCCTTTTAAAGGAATGAATCCATTTTTCACTCACTATCTCAAAAGACCTCACTGAATTAAGGCTTTGCAAACCTTTTTCACATAAAATGTTTTTATCATGTATTTTATCAAGAGTTCAGCTTTTTATAGTTGAGAAATGACCGTATACATTTAGAAACATTAGCTCCACTGGCCCAGTTCAGCCCTATTTATAAGTGGCGGCTGATCAAACTGTTTGGTTTAGTTTCAGCCTGTTGTCACACCTTGTGGGCCAACCAAAATATTCTAATTGTTATGAAGTGGTTCTTAGAAGTAAAGTTTTTGCCACAGAAAGAGAGGGATACACCAAGACCCAATGAGTAACATGGACAGAAAGAAATTTAATTTAGATGTATCTGTTCGGGCGGCACGGTGGTGTGGTGGTTAGCACTGTCACCCCCCAGCAAGAAGGTTCTGGGTTTGAGTCCCAGGGGACCAAGGACCTTTCTGGGTGGAGTTTGCATGTTCTCCCTGTGTCTGCGTGGGTTCTTTCCGGGTTCTCCGGCTTCCTCCCACAGTCAAAAAACCTGCATGTTAGGTTGATTGGACATTCCAAATTGCCGTTAGGAGTGAATGTGAGTGTGTGTGGTTGTTTGTCCTTGTATGTCTTGTATGTGGCCCTGTGATGGACTGGCGGACTGTCCAGGGTGGACCCTGCCTCTCACCCGTTGACCACTGGGATAGGCTCCAGTTACCCCCCGCGACCCCATCAGGGAATAAGCGGTAATGATAATGGATGGATGGATGTTTCTGTTCGCTGCTGCTGGAAATAGACCATTAACGAAACTGGTTGGGTCTGTTTGTCCATACTAGAAAGAGACATTAGTTTTTTCAGACAAAAAAAATATGAGGAATGAAAATAAAATGGAATGAATGGACCTGTGTGGTAAGTATTTAAAAAAACACAGTTTTAGCCTCTATATGTATATTAATTAATTGATTCAAACACTTTGTTTCGCTCTGATAAAAAAACAAAATGTTTTTGTTAAATCTACAGGTTTTTTTTAAATCTAATTTTGTGTCTTTTTTTTGTTGGTGTGTGTCATTTGGTGCAGGTGAGGCATATGAAGAGCCCCGGCTGACCTGCTGGTACGGGGAGTTGCCGTACACATATGCTCGCTCCACTATGCCTGCCAATATGCAGGTTAGATGTTGGCATCATGACTCAAAAGAACATATTGTCACACAGCATCTTCTACACATTTATTCTACAGTGTGTTTTTTATTTTTTTCCTTTTTGTTATTTCTTTCTCTTTATGGGTATTTCGTCTTTTTAATTAATACATTTTTTTGTGTAGGTGTTATCGGATCATCTTTTTTTCAACATTTACATCTACATTTTATCTTCCATTCACATCCATCCACTTTACATTATTTTCTTAGTTAGTTTTCTTGTCTTTACTTGTTTTGTTTTATTTTGTTATAGTGGCATCCTTTGCTGGTAAGCCTTTGCAAAGCAGTGGAGCAAGTGAGCAGATGCACCTTCAACTCTTTACTGTGTAATTTATATCGTGACGGGCACGACAGTATCGGCTGGCACAGCGACGATGAGGCCTCCTTGGGTGCCAGACCAACCATTGCCTCTCTCAGTCTTGGTGACACCAGAGTGTTTAGCCTCCGAAAGCAGCCTCCTCCAGTGAGATAATGGCGGAGTGCCAAAACCTATTTACCTTGTTCAGAATAACTCAGTTATCTATTCCTAATTTAATCTAACCATACTGTAGCCTAGATAAACATGACAGCTGTTGATCATTTCCCTATTTTTTAACTTAGAAACAAACTACACATTTATTTTATGGATTTTTCTTGGAGGATATTATTGCGTAGTCCAGATATTTTTGTATGTAACTGTGATTTTGTGAAAGAATTGGCTTTTCTTACTGCATATTTAGGATGTTTGTATCTAAGTCAGACCAAGAAGCTGTGTTGTGTATTGTAAGTGTACAGCTTAACAAGTGTGTGTGCCTCGCTCGTTTATGTTGCACTAGGAGGACAATGGTGACTACACTTACGTGGAGCGGATTCGGGTTCCTCTGGGTCACGGGACGCTTCTTCTGATGGAAGGAGCCACGCAGGATGATTGGCAGGTGTGTTTCACCAGTGAATTAGCACAAAAAGCAAAGGACCGTGCATTAACAAATACTACCCTGTGTATAGATCAGCTGTAGGCAGATGCAGACATAACGTAAATATGCTGCTTTGTTCTGAGCTCATTTAAAAATCTTTCCCAAATGTTACATAGTTTGAATGTTTGCTCTCAGCTTTCAGCTCACAAACATGTCCATTTGTTAGTTTCCATCATGTGAATCGCATGGAAAAGACAGCACGTACCATACTTGAGAAATGATTTAAGGGCTTAAATCCGTAAAGACAAAATGTAGTTGTCTCTATGTCTTCCATAGAGGGTAAGAAATATTTTCTAATTATAAGCACTTCTGGGGTTTTTTTGCAAAGCCTCAGGTCTTAGGACTCTGTTTCCAAACAGCAATTTGCTTTAACCATTTCTTTGAGTCTGAATAACTTTAACATTTCTTTGAGTCTGAATAGCTTAATCAGCTCACCAACTCCAGCAAGAGAATACACCAGAAAATACAGCAATATATAATTTGTGTAACCGTTTCAAGCTTTGCATAACCTAAGGGTTCCAAGAACATAGACATTCTGACAGTTTACCATTTAAACATTCTGTGTCTCAAATTGTTGTAGTTTTTTTGTATCCTTTGGGAAATCAACCATATGCACACTTTGGAGGAAGTTCACAGCCATGAGCTGATCCCTCCTTTTGTAATATATGTTTGAGTCTAACTAACATAATTAGCCTTGCCCTTTAAAAAATATGGTTGGCCACTGACCAACTGGCAGAAATGGTGATGAACCCCAGAGAGAAGAAAATAGCTTCAGTTTGATTGGAGACAACCTGGGTGGAAATGGGATGGAATATTTGGAGTTAGTCATTTTAGTGTGAAGAAAAAAGGAATCCATTGGAAGGTAGACAAAAGCTTAAATTCAGGATAACCCGCTTTAACAAAAGGAGTACAAGATGATAAGAGAAGAACATAAAAAACTGCATGTTCTCAAAGTGAGTTTGACATAATTTTATCACATTCGAAAAGAACTATAGATTTTTACAACTTCAGAAGAATGCATATTTGAATTAGAGTTGTCAGTTCACCAGAAACAGGGATACATTTACCGGGGCCGCCAACCTCCTTCAAGTCCGCTATTTTCACTTTCTAAAATTTAATAAAATGTTTAAAATGATGGTCAAAAGGGAAGAGGAGTAAAGTAAGAGTGAAGTAAGAGAGAAGAGAAGAAACAGTCAAGGAGGTTCAACCTCGGAAAGAAAACAGGATAAGGTCACAGTTGTTTTATGGCGACACCTTCCCAAGTATCTCAACAAAGGTTTCATCTCTCCTAAGACATGATAGAAAATCACTCGAGCTAATAATCCTCCACCTGTTACAGGTTGGCCTAACAAAACCATCTGGCTCAGGCAGAGAGTTTTCAGAAGGGAGTGTGAAATATTTAATAGAAACTATTAGCAAAAACATTTAATTATTAGAAAATGGGTAAAAGATTTTTTCTTTCAAGAAACTTTTGTCTCCTTTTTTACCTGGTATGTTTTGGTTGTGTTTTTGAGGCATGAAGATGCAGAAATAAATACAGTCATACCTTTAAGGAAATTATTCCATTGTACAAAAAACAGAAGAATTTATTATTATTTTTTCTATTACATTCTCTCTCTGACCCTTTGTGTGCATGCAGGGATAAAATACCAAATGGAAAACTAATTTAAATGCTTTTGTCTGGGTAAACTACTAAAGCCTCTGTTTTATTACTTTTCTTTGTTAGAAAATGTAACTTTCATCAAGTGAAACGGTCAATTTAATTTCTACATTAGACCATATCGTGCGTTTTTATTTGTCTCAGTGTTATTTTACGTTGCTCATCTGTTGTTTTTTATTAGACTATGCCTTCCCTGTCTTGGTAAAGGATCAGCATGCACCTGTCTCTCCTCTCTAGCATCAGGTGGCGAAAGAGTACCATGACAGGGGTCCACGCATCAACTTGACCTTCAGAACTATCCACCCGGAGCCTGAGGGCCACAAGCCAGGCACCAAGATGCGATTCACAGCCAAACAGTCGTAGAATTGCCCACTAGTCAGGAGGGCAGAGGAGACTGCGTGGTGACGAAATGGGGAAACACTAATTAAAATGAAAAAAATGCTGAATCAGAACCAAGCTGGTCGATGAAGACAATGGGGCATGAAGAGAAGCCACACGATAACAATATCTGTCATATTGTACATCCGAGGAATTCTAGGTTTTTCAAATAAATAAGGCAGTACACCACTGTGCTTCCTCCCACTTTAAAAAAAACATGAATATTACGTTGATTGTAGTGTGTGGTTGTTGTATCTCTATGTGGCCCTGTGATGGACTGGCGGACAGTCCAGGGTGTACCTGCTGTATACTCCAGGATAGGCAGCCTCCAGTAACCCCCGATGGGAATAAGCGATACATTAAATGAATTAATAGGTCTGCAGTTTAAACACCAGATACCTCAGTCTTCTCAAAGAAGCTAAGCAGAAAAAATTATTTACACTGCAAACTTTGGATCATCTTGATGCTCTCACTGTCATCTTTGCTTTATTTATCCTGCACAGACGGCTGTTTACATCATATAATTTAAATAGATCTTCAACCCATCTCTTTTTTTTCTTAAATTTGAGGAATCCCATTGATTAGTGCAGCTTATTAAAGAGTTATTTATAAAACCCTGGAGTTTTCTGCACCCACTCACCAGTACAGAGAGAAACGTGGGCATTTAAACCTACCACTCATTGTTTCTTGCTTTGAATTGGAAAGATGTGATGCATCGACAACATACATGTTCTTATGGTGAACGTGGTCTCCATGAGTTGCCCTGATTTATTAGTTATTTCTTTAAATTTAAGTTATTTGAAGTTTTATGTTTTCAGTGAAAAAGTCATGTCTGTATCTTTAATACATTACACATAATTCCATAGCCTAAATAGTCTTTGGTCTTATTTATTAGTTTGGAAATGAGCACAGATGCCATAAAAAGACATGTTCAGTGACCACTTGAGTAGACTACAGAACTAAAGTAGATTTTTCTTTTTGAATAAAATGTGTTTATCCTTTCCTTTAAAGAGAGTGTTTTTTTAAAATGCATGAAGTTCAGCATTCGCACGAAGGCACCGAACTATAAGGATATCAGCAACACCTTTCCAGATGTGGTTCCGGAAAACTATAAAGGATTTATGAAGACCTTTTGTTGCAAAAAATTATTCCATCCTTTTCAGTTTTTAGGTGTGATAAAAACATTTAGGCTGGCTCAAGATAAGCTTCAATGGTAAGAATTTAAACTATTTTTTTTTTGGCTGAATAATATATAGATAATATTTTTTGTGTAAAAATTTAGATTTTAATCTAATTAAAATTTTCTTCAGAACATTCCCTTGCAGTGCATAATGTATGTGTGTTCTGCTAATAGTTTCCTTTTTTATTCGGGCATTAAGAATTCATTAATGAATGACTGAGGTCCTTGAGACAAGATTTAACAACTAGGCATGAATATGGTTGAATTAATACACCATGTAGTATTAACCTGTTCTAAATGACACGAAAAAAATACAGGTATCTTTCTCTTCATGCTGATATGGTGAGAAAATTCTCAATGGACTTTTTCACTTTCCTGCTCAATGACCACATGCTTAATTTCCAATGCAAAGAACCAATGCTTTAGTATTTTTATGTGGAGGGTAAGTAAATGCACCTGTGCGTGATCTGCAAATAATCATTCTATTCTTCCTTTAGGTGAGTTTGAAGCCTTTAAAAATTAGCCAGATATAATGTCTGAGAAACATCTATTTCTTCGGATTGGTAACAAGGACATTTTTTTTTTAGCAGGGTTGTCCTTGAAGGGGCGAATCTCCACCAGAGTTGAGCAGGTTCGAAAATAGCAGGATCTAGTAAGAAGTTTGTCGTGTAAATACAGTGAAATCTGAGTGTACTGTTTGCAAAATACAGCGAACAAAAAACAAATGTGCTCCGCATCCTCTGAGATTCCAGAAGTGATATTGGGATCACACAGAGGCACAGTTCAGATAATGTGGTTTCTTACCCCAAAAACGGGAAATTAAGAAAGGAAACCTCATCAATTTTGCAGAGTGGATGAGTTATTTTTTCTACTAGTGTGAAAGTAAATTGTAGAGAGTACCGTCTTTAATGGTGTAAAATCATATAAACTTAACTTTAGCCCTTTTCTTCATCACTTTCAAGCCAGGAGCCTTTTTGCACCTTACGGTCATGTGTAGCTCTGTTCACACATGTCTTTTATGCCATAACTGATGCCCTGAAGTTTGAAGTTGATCTGCCCCTGGTGTCCCCATGAGCAGCCAAGGGAGGTGAAGAGGGGATATGGTATTTGAGAAAAAGGAAGCACATGCAACTTGAGCTGTTGTCACGACCCTGGCTTGTTCTGAGGAAATACACTCTGATGACAGCCTGAGTCTGCCCTGTAAACTAAAAACAGCAGCAGCTAGACAAGAATACAGTTTTTTTTTCTTCTTTTACTCATATGTATGGAAACTAATACTAATGATTGGTTATTACTGGATGAATCCCAGTGACACTTACTATATACTTATATTTAGCCATTAGGTAACTGGCACCTTCTGGCTCAGATTCAGTCATACCTTTAGATCTCTACGGACTTTATAAATAGCTGGTTTTGAGTTATGAATTGCATAATAAAAGACTTGCAAAACCAGAGAGACCCCATAAAACGTTTTTTTTTTAAAGGTGTATTGTGACTGTGTCCAAATTAAAAAGAAAATCTTCTTCAGATATTAAAGCTTGTTTGAGCCATGATAATTCCATTGTAGTATCTCTGATTGCAGAACTGGCAAGAACAAACTGTTTGCAGTCTCAATGTTTTCTGTACCAATAGTTACAGCCAAGACTGATGAACAAAGAATCAAGAATGGGTCAAATCAGAAAGACCAAAGAGTTAAGCATCATTCCATAATTATTAAATCAGGTTGAAACACACATAGAGGAATTTCTATGTTACTTTGCCTGTCAGCAGAATTTATTATTTAACGTTTTTTTTTTTATGAACTAAGAAAGAGCTTGTACTTTGTCTATTTGACTGTATTTGGACACAAATTTCACGCTTCTGTGCACCACAGAGTAAAAAAAAAAGATTGTACTGTTTTGAAATTTGTACTGTATTTACAAATTCAATGGTGCATACAAAAGACCTGAATGTGTTCTTCTTTGGAAAGAAGCTGCCATTAATGTGAATAATAGCTGCTCCTCTTCTGCCACTGCAGAAGGTTTGTTTTACTGTCCTAAGAAGCTAGTCTTATGATGAGTTTATTTTTTACCTTTTTTGGCCAGTGTGAACAAACTATAACATCAGTCATTACTTCGCATATCAGAGCTGTATTTGTTCGATCTGTCAGCCAATAGTAGTTCAAGAAAATGTTTCCCCTACACTGATTGATTATCACAATCACAACGCTTCCCTTACATGTTTTTGTTTATACTGAACAAAATCAATTGACCATTTAACAGATTTAGGCTGAACATTAGATTTAATTATGGCACAGTGCCTTAATGTTCCAGCTAACACAATCTTTACATTTCCAGTAGGAAACCTCACACCTGCTCCTCCCTGATAACTGTTTTTTTAGTTTGCTATTAAGACTCACAATCATAGCCGCAAATGCAAAAGAAAATGATATGGTCGTTAATTTTCTTGTATGCACACAGACACCAATCTCCATCAGTTCCATCATCATGATTGCCCTACCATTCTTTATTCATTTATTTTTTAAGATGGTACCAATGCCTGCTTTAAAACTTTTCTATTCAAATTGCATACGGTACAAAATGTAGCTTTACATCTTTAAATAAAATGAATGTATTTTTAACATGACAGAATTCTCACTCAGTAACCAGTATGATATATTTTTAGCTTTGCCTGCACACTCCAAGTTCTGTCTTGTTACTCTATATGCTTGGTACCTTCAAAACTTTCCAGAAATAAGCACTAATAGCCAACTAACAAGTTTCCCATCAATCCAGACTCTGCCCCTGTTGTGTAAAGCTGGAAAGGGTTGTGGCTTGTGTCCTTACCTGTTTATAAGTGTAGATGTATACATACTTGATAATGTTAAATTGCAGAAGATGTCTTGGATTAGGGGCGGCATGGTGGTGTGGTGGTTAGCACCGTTGCTTCCCAGCAAGAAGGTTCTGGGTTTGAGTCCTGGGGGAACCAGGACCTTTCTGGGTGGAGTTTGCATGTTCTCCCTGTGTCTGTGTGGGTTCTCTCCGGGTTCTCCGGCTTCCTCCCATGGTCCAAAAATCTGCATGTTAGGTTCATCGGACATTCCAAATTGCCCTTAGGAGTGTGGGTGGTTGTTTGTCCTTGTACGTCTTGTGTGTGGCCCTGTCCAGGGTGTAACCTGCCTCTTGCCCGTTGACCACTAGATCCAGTTCACCCCGTGACCCCATCAGGGAATAAGCGGTATTGATAATGGATTATATTTATGATCTTTTTATTGAGTGTGGCATGAAGCGCTCTCTTTGGAACACTGGTCCTCCTTTAACAATCAGCCCTGACACCCTCACTTGTCCCTAATTGTTCTGCTTGTTCTGGAGTCCTACTTAACACTGTTAAAAGTGCATTCTATAAAACAAGATGACACATTCCTATAATTTGATGATTAAGTTGTTTGAAGATTACATTAAAAGCAATTCTTGCATTGCTAAAGTCCCAGCACACTGCCATCAGTTTTGATAACATAGTTTCTCTGTAGAGAAGACCCGTCTATAAGCCACACAGGACATTTTCAGGTCAACAGAAAAGGGCACCAGCTAAATCAGTCTGTGTACACATGTGTAATATCTGTGTCTTGTTGGTAACATCATATTGCAGCTGCCCCACTGTCTTTAATCTCCAGTTCAGATAAATAGTTTGGTGTCTCTATACTTGATATAATGCAAAATGATTTACCTAGACATATCCAACATTTATTTTTAAGGAAATTAATCTGATTTAATTCCTTGAAAAAAAAGACCTTTTGTCTATATTTCTATATATCAATTGTGAGAACAAGTACATCTTTGTGTATAAATAGAATTCATGTTTTTACAGCTCAGATCCGTGCTTTATCTTAATGCTAGTGGTGAGTCATTTATACTTTTGGTCAAAACGAACTGTCCCCTCTTCGCATTTAGTTAAAAGTAGCCTAATACTTTTATTTGACTATCCCTGATGTTTTGATTTCAGTGCCTTATCCTCAATTTGGAATTATGGAAAACATGACGTCAGCAGAACCCAATGCTTTTCTTACACTGTTTTTTACTTTCCACCCCCTGCCCTCTGGAGCAAAATATCTTTCCGCTGTTAGTTTTAGCAGCTGACACTAATATCATGATAACATCGGCATCATTATTGGATTCTTGAGATCATACTAAACGACTGTAAATTATTGCCAGTGAGGTAATACTGACTGAACAGGCTGATTAATTTCATGTTGTACGTGGTAAGTAAGTATGGACAATTCTGTGACCAAATTTCACCAGTATGGATCTACAGACAGCACACTCTTATCGCATAATTTCCACAGGTCACACATCTTTCACTCACACCTGAGTGTTGTTTCAACTTTTGAGCTCTAGTGTACACTAGTCCATCCCTCTACTTGCATGTTAACCGAATATGATGGATAAGTCCATACAACTGCAACAAAAGTGATGATATTCTGTAGTCAATACATGTTGAATAGATACTTGAAAATTGAAGGAAAAATGTCTCTTAGTCTTAAGAAAAAACTTTTTACTGGAAACATGTGGCCATGAACCGTAAACAGACACAGTGTTCCTGGATGGGAAAGCTTCCTGGTCATCTCAGTCTGTCTATAAATAGCTATGTCGTCCCTATGTTGTCTTGCTGAATGAGTAAATCCAATAGCGGATAAGAACTAAGCCAATCCCCAGACTATAACTGTTTATTGATTTATATTTGCATTACCTTTGTTTATTTTTTTCACGAGAGCGAAAGTCACTAGCCTTGTGAAATAGCAGGATTCGCATGATTCACATCGTCATAACCACCAATCAGAATCAGAATAAGGTTTATTGCCAAGTAGGTTTTTGACTTACAAGGAATTTGCC